GCCGCCGGGTGGGGGGAATGGGAGCGGGGGGATGGGAGGGGAGTGGGGAGGGGGTCTCCGGAGATCTGGAGGGAGACGGCGATCCGACGCTCGCTTCGTTGGCGGGGCGGGGCGGGGCGACGCGACACTCCTTTAACGCGGCCGCCGAGGTGGACGGGGGAAGCCACGTGGGCGTGACACGTTGGTCGAGTGACGTGGTGGTGCAGAGTCGCCGGGGTTGCTTGCTCGCTCGCTGGCGCTGGGGATGGACGCAACACTGTTGGAGGGAGAAAGTGGACCTGGAATTACAAGCATGTGTAAAAAAAAATACTAAGAGTTTACAGGAATTTTGTAGAATAGCAAATGAAAATTTTCTTTGGAGTTCTTTGGTTTGTGGGAATGTATTTTATATTCCTACTATGTAGGTATGAATCTTTTTTTTAATCAATCGTCCACGTTTCAAAGAAGAACAAATACTGACTTGACTCAATGAAAAAGTTCACATCCTATGCATCAAATAGCATCTCTTTTTCTGTAGGGTTTGACATACATGGCATCTCTCTTCCTATAATTTTCCTATTCCTATAATATTCATATTCGTTCGCAAAAATATATATCAATATCCTATGAACCAAAAGAGGCCTAAGATCTACTATAGCTTGTGTGAGTTAAAAATCGGAAGTCCCCAACTAACACCTATGTCGAAGATGTTAGGTGCTCTCTGTTGGTTCTTCCATCGGTTCACTCGTGGAGGATTCAGGATATGAGGTCTGCATACAACCATGAGTGTGCAAAATGGGTAGTGTTGAGAGCGAGCGCGGGGTAGGTGGTCACTGCCTTTTCCAGTTTGTTAACGATCTTGCACGATGATTTTCCTTGGATCATGAGCTTCTTATGTTGCCGCAAGCATGTTCACCCACTCCGGACCAGCGATTATGTTTGCTTCTTCTGTCTCTCTTTGCGACGATCTTGGGCCCTCTTCGATGATGGGTAGAGATACTTTTGGGCTTTAGGTCCAATAGTAGTAGTGGTGCTAACACTCCCTCCTCCTTGCGTTTCAGATTGTCCGCAAGCGGGGTCACATTGGAACCAATCTTGCAATTCTTCACGGTCTCCTTGGAATCCGTGTGAAAACTAGATCGACACACCAAAACTTGTCCCATGACCCGATTAGCTTTAACTTCATGACGAGTGTCGAGAATTTGCACATGGATCGCAAATTGGATCAGTGTGAAGGTGAAGATGGGGAGGCAAACACACCCGGTTTCAAAGCTTTGGAGTTGCGTGACGTGAAAAAACGGATGGATGAACAAAGCCTCAATCAGACCGATATGTAAGGGATTTGGCCAATATGAGCTCGAACACGAAAAGGCCCTAGAAAACGGAGGTCAATTTGTGTCAAGCACGCGAGGCTACAGAACTTCACACATACGACTTTAGCTTCATATAAACTTGATTGCCTTTTAAAATTGTGTTCTCACATGTTTTGTCATCATGATGTTTCATACACACCTGAGCTTGTAACAAGTATTGCTTAACCAGTCGATCCTTTAACGCTACGCCGAGGTAGACAAGGGGTGCCCCACGTGGGCGTGACACATGGGTCGAGTGACGTGGTGGTGGAGAGTCGCCGGAAAAGTAAAACAATGATCTTTACCTTGGAGAAGGTGAGCCTAGACCTTGGTAGTGGCTATAATAACCGTGACTCAGCTCTATAGCTCGCGCAAGCTTAAAATTTAAATCCCAACTAACACCTACGTACGTCAAAGAGAGCTTCAAATGAGATGAACAGCGGGAGAAAATTACTGTATTACTTCAAACGACTAATTCAGACATGATAGCATTTTAGGGTTCAAATTGTTCACACCGGGCATATTAAACACGGTGGATGATTCGAGATTTTTCTTGGTTGAGAGGTGTGACGATTTGAGTTGTGCGCTTCCGTGAATCATGGACCACACGTCCTTCCTTTTCGGAATGTTAGCAGCATCATTGTCATATTTGATGTCGCGTTTGATTACATCATTTCACGAGGTTAGACTTGAGGAAACCCTTGTCGTGAACTTTCATTTATAGTAGTCTACGGAACGAAAATTGTGAGATTTCTTCATAGAACTAAAACGAGATCAGATGGACATAATCTACTGCATGAAGTAGAATTTTCTAACACCCTTATAAGTTATAATAATTCTTTGAAATAAAGAGGCCTTCCATAATTTGCCTCCTTAATCTCCGCAGAAACAACCTATGATTGATCATCCCCTCTATCTGAAGAATCACACCGTAATCACGCACACCGTGGCGTTCGGGATTCACTCGTTCCTTCAACTTCAATATTGTCCCCCCTTTGGCACATTTTATGAAAATTATCGATATATCGGCCACAACCCCCCCCCCCCCTCCCCCCCAACTCAAAATCGGCCACTCAACTGTAGATGTAGATTTTGGTTGGGTTTGAAGTTTGGTTTGAGTAGCTGTCCACGTCAGCAGCGGGTCCTTCCTAGGTGGCGGTGTGAAAAGTCAGCTGGCACAGGCCGGGCACAGTGGCCCACCGTCAGAAGGGGAACGAAAGGGGTCTACACGCCGCTGCTCCCCCGTTCCGGCGACGCGACGGCCGCCGACCGCGCCCCCGGGGGTGGAGGAGGAGGAGGAGGGATGATGCAGCAGCTGCAGCCGACGCGGATGCACTGGGCGAGGGCCGTCCCCTCCGACTTCGGCGGCCAAGCCCCCGCCCCTCGCAGGTAACCGATCCCCGCCCCGCCGTCCTTCGCCGCCGATCTCTCGCTCCCCCGATCCTTTCCGGCCCGAAAACTGAGCCGGCGCGTATCCCCGCAGCGGGCACACGGCGGTCGCCATCGGCGGGTCCAAGGTCGTCGTCTTCGGCGGGTTCGCCGACAAGCGCTTCCTCGCCGACATCGCCGTCTACGACGTCGGTAAATCCCGCCCCCCACCGGTCGCTTCGCCTGCGCTGCCCGCGGCAGCTCAGCTCCACCCGATTGGGACATCTGGCTCCGGTCGGCTCTCTGCTCTGCCGCTGTCTGATTAAACTCGCGTGCCCGATCCCCTTGTCGCAGAGAACAGGCTATGGTACACGCCGGAGTGCAGCGGCAGCGGCCCGGACGGGCAGCCAGGCCCCAGCCCGAGGGCCTTCCACGTCGCCGTGGTCATCGACTGCAACATGTTTATCTTCGGCGGCCGCTCCGGGGGCAAGAGGTTCGCCATTGCGCACAGCTCTCTGTCTAGTGGAGTTTGCAGCTTGTCATTGTCCCTTGTTTACGGTTCCGGTGTCTGCCTCGCAGGTTAGGTGACTTCTGGATGCTCGACACTGGTAAAGCCCTTCGTTCCATCGACCCATTTTAGAATCCCCTGTTATGCTCGTTTTGTTTCGAATTGTACTGGAGATTCAGCGATCGCTAAGCACTCTTAATATGCCTCGGTACTTCTTTTATGTTCAGACATTTGGCAGTGGTCGGAGATGACCGGCTTTGGCGATTTGCCGTCTCCCCGCGAGTTTGCTGCCGCATCAGCCATAGGAAACAGAAAAATTGTCATGTAAGCGATTTGTTCCCTGCAAGTTCCGCCTTACAATATGTGTCTCATCACCTGTGATTAAGATGATGTTCATCCTGGTTCAGGTACGGTGGTTGGGATGGCAAAAAGTGGCTGTCTGATGTATATGTCATGGACACAAGTGAGCTCACAGCTCCCTTTATTCAAGCTGTGATGAGCATTGAATGTATTTTGTTGAATAAGTTGATCATTCATTATTTTTCTTTTGTTATAATCTTTTATGTATTTTCTGCTGGATAGTGTCACTTGAGTGGACAGAACTAGCAGTTACTGGATCAGCGCCACCTCCAAGATGTGGACATTCTGCCACTATGATTGAGAAGAGGCTGCTTATATTTGGAGGCAGAGGTAATTGCCATTCCTTAATTTGGTTCTTCTTGGCCTCTGTCAAAGCTCATGTTAGCTTGGATGACTGGCTAAGTCTCATTTTATATGTTGCAACAAGCCAGTAGTACTTCTCATGCCTTCCTGGTCCAACCTTGAAAAGCTGGCTGACACTAGAAAGTAGAACTTTGATTTATTTTGTAAATAGCCACCAAACATAAAAGATGATTGAAACTAAAGTGCTTTGCTGCACTTGAATAACTTCCAACATTGAAATTTTTAAGAGCAGTGCCAGTATCAACCCCTTTTTCTAACGAAAACTTTAAGGGAGGCCCCAACAAACATAACAAATAGGAAGCCAAATTGGAGTTCATGGGGACTCGAACCAGGTGGTGGGATTGTACATCCACTCCCACCCAAGTGAGCTAGGCTCTTTTCCCCAGCACCAACAATTTATTGTCATTTAGTTAGTCTATGTGTGTTACAGATTATTTATTGATTATTTATATTTTCCCTGAATAATTGTTAGTTCCTTTAGAGCCATTATATATCTGTTCCGCGCAATTCGATTTGCTTGTAGGCTTCCTGCTGGGTATCAGACTATTCCTGAGTATAATTTTTAGTGCACTGACAATTTAGATGTTTAGTGAGTTGCATAATTTTTTGGTCTAAAAAATCCTACCCCTGACTACTTTATATCTTCCTTCCAACAGGTGGAACTGGGCCGATAATGGGTGATCTCTGGGCTTTAAAGGGTATTACTGAAGAAGGTATCTCTTCCTATTTGTTGTTTAAAGGCTTTAAAGATCTTAATTGATGAGTAACGAACAAAACTCGTAGTGCACTTAGAACTTCTTGTCTAGACAGTTTATGTAACGGAACTATTGCACATACGACATTTCTTGGTCCAATCCGGGTAGGATGCAAGATCCAGTGTGCTGCACTTTGGTTCCACCCCACGGTTGGTTTGATCTGGTATGTCGGACAAGGATCAGACGGAACATGTCATATGTATAACAGGAGTCTTTATGCAAATATGTGTCACGATCGGTGGAGGTTACATACCTGTGTTTATAATATTTACATATTACATATTTACTTCACATGCTTATTTATACAGAGTTTGTTCTCATTTAGTCCTTTTGCAGTGATTACCGCACAGTTGTTTGCGTTTTAGTATGAAGTTGTGTTTCTCGGTTGATTTAAGTAATGGTTCACTGCAAATCGAAGCTAGACGATTACTGCAATATTTGTAAATTTGCTATTACTGAACCTGGTGTTATTGATTTTCGGAGATAATGAGACACCAGGATGGACGCAATTAAAGCTGCCAGGACAATCTCCCTCTGCACGATGTGGTCATTCAGTGACTTCTGGTGGACCTTATGTATGCAATCTGAAACCTTGATGTTTTTTTTCTCCAACTGCCTAAGTATTAATAGCTGATCTCTCTGTTGTGTGTATCACATATTTGGAAGGTTGATTTACTTGATTATTCTTCAATATTAATTGTGGGTACCTATTAATCATCGGGTTGTTTGCTATCATGCCAAGCTTCTATTCAGCGAAGCTTAATGTCCTATGAACGCGCATATAATGACCCTCGGGTGTACTTTTGTCGGATAAACAATTACAACGCTCTTATATTATGGGACGGAGGGAATAATATTTAGTATCCACTTAGGTATGAGATTGTGGATATGCATTAGCTTTGATTAAACTTCGCTCTGGTCTGGTGAAACAAGGCTTAGCTACCAAAACCTTGCTCCCTTGTTTTTAGTTACATAATAGGAAGTTTATTTAGTGATCCAGAAATAATAATAAAATCATTCTTTTCTTAATGTATCAGAAAAGAATTTACAGCTAGAATTAATGTATCAGAAAAGAATTTCCTCTTGGGGGCTTATCTTAGACTTTCTCGTCCAGTTTCGGTTATGCAAGAATATTACTAACAACATATATATCTTGGATCTTGCTGTCAGCTCTTGCTATTTGGTGGACATGGAACTGGTGGTTGGCTAAGTAGATATGATGTGTACTACAACGAATGTGTTATTTTAGACAGGGGTAAGCTCAAATGATATTTTTTTTCCTGCACATCCACTTTGGGGACATTGAGCATGAGTTTGCATCTTGTTATAAACTGAACACACCAAATCTTGTTATCGTATTATTGACATAGATGGTTTTCTGAAACAAAATACGGCGTCCTGGTAATTAAATTTAGAATGTGATTCCATAATTAACCAGCTTAGCCCAAAATTATCTAGCTTGTTTAGTACTATGAATTTGCTGAAACACTACAGACAGCTAGGATAAATGCCACGCGTCCACTCATTCTGCACACGTGCATATGTCTATGCTGTCCTGGGTGGCACATGAACGACTAGAACTTTGTACGTGTTAACAAACATCTTGGCCATTTTGTTTACTGTTCTTGCTTTGATTTGTCTTCCTTTAATTACTGTTCTTTTGTTGGAGCAACCAGCATCGCATATGAATTTTCGGCATTGTATCTATTTTTGCTGACTAATACTTTGGTCTCCCAGTCTCTGTTCAATGGAAGCGCTTACCAACAAGTAATGAGCCACCCCCTCCTCGGGCATATCATTCTATGACTTGCATAGGGCCTCGGTTTCTTTTATTTGGCGGCTTTGATGGAAAGAATACATTTGGCGATTTGTGGTGGCTTGTTCCTGAAGGTATATTAATATCACATCTGAGAAAAAAGAGAATATCTATTGATATCTTCGAGAGTTGAAGTTTTAGTTTGTATTGTGTAAACAGCAAACTGTAAAAGCTTTTAGAAGCAATATAATGTATCATATGTTGGCCTGTGGTTTGACCTATAATCTAGTTATTACACCCAATAGATGCCATATTTTCTACTCCATCAGTATCATATAGGTGTTGTTTTAAGCTGTATGCACAGATAACTAAGAATAAATTAATTTATTGTCTTTAAGCAGAATTGCGGAAGTTTATCAGTTAGCATATTGGTAGAGTATTTCAAGAAGTGACATATGTTTCCCCTACTAACGGCGTACATACCCATCTCTGTAGCATCGTATAAATAAGTAATCAATAGGGGCATTTGGTGGATAGTGTTACCTACAAAGAACCATAATGTTTATACTTGCTAAGATAATGCCCTGACTATATGTACTACTCCGTTCCTAAATATTTGTCTTTCTAGAGATTTCAACAAGTGACTACGTACGGAGCAAAATGAGTGAATTTACACTCTAAAATATGTCTATATACATCCGTATGTGGTAGTCCATTTGAAATCTCTGAAAAGACAAATATTTAGGAACGGAGGGAGTAGTTACTGATTAACACAGTAATATGTTTAAATTAAGCTGGCTATGGCACAATGAGTTAAATCTACAGGACCAGTGAATTGTATTAACCCTTAGGGATGGAAGATGAACATAACTTGGGTTGGTACTTGTATAAGCAGCCAATGTGCTGCACACTTCACACAGGCAAACCAAATTGTTTTAGTTAATGGAAGAGATTTCTCCCCCGGCATCTGCATCTGATGATGCACACGATGAACCAATAAAGATATTGGTCCTCGAAACTTCAAGAAATGATACATTTAAACATGAAACGAACTTGGAATAAGACGCTTAGAGGGTTTTGTGGGGATATGGTTGGTTGTGTCCCGCCAATCATGCTTAGATACTTGAGTTCTTACATGTGTCAGCGCTAATTTATAAGAAAACGATTAAATATGTAGAGCTGTTAGTGTTGAGTCATATTCTGCCAATCAATACCCGATTGACCCTTAGCGTCCACACATTCTCCAGTAATGACTAGTGAATGGTGAGAAGAATTTTGTTGGTTTACAAAACTGCCAAGGAAAAGGAATTCATCTGACTCAGTTCAGTTAGTGATATTATTTGCTACTTATAACTAGAGGTGTTGGAAATTGCTAGAGCTTATGGTTATTGTTCATGTTTGCATCTGTTTCCTTTTCTGATTGTAGCCAGACACTAGCTAGATATTTTCCTTTGCTGTAAACTCTTCTGATCTACAGTTCTACACTCAGTAATGCTTAATGGAAGATAATCTCTGCTTCTATAATCTCTGCCCGATTGACGTTCAGATGATCCTATTTCCAAGCGGGACTTGGTTCCTGATGTTGGTTCAGACAGCAACCATAGCACTGTGACTGGTGATGCCCAACAGTCTGCATTGAAGGTATGTTCCCATACACCTGAAGTTCAGAAGATCTTTGTGGGGAGTAAAATGAGAACCAATGTCGCTTTTTTATGGCATTAGAATTTAGAACCTTGCAATCACTAAAGAATATGATTATTGCAGGAATCAGAATCACAATCTGGGGAATCTCCGATGTTGGAGTTGGCCAAACGATTGGGGATTCCACTTTCTGTAGAACCTTCAGCAAGTTTTGTTGACGAAATCAACGATAAAGAACTAGTGGAATTATCATCCAGGCTCATTGGTGAATCACTTCCTACCACCGACCAGCTTGCATGTATTCAGGTGCTGATATCTTTCCTTTTCTGCGATCCTTTGAAATTGTGTTGGCTTCCAAGGAAATGGGACATTATTGTATATGATGTACAGGCACTTCGTGATCATTGGAGAAGTTCTCCATCCAGCTCAATACAGCTCCAGGAGCTAGGCCCTCTGCTGAGGGACTATCAACGTCTCATTATCCGCCGCTTTGTGTATGGTTTCATTCCTCCATTCCCCCTCTGCATTATTATTTACACATTTTAAGCATTCAGTTTTCCATAAAATCAAGAAACAGTACGGTGGAACAATGACACGACTTCGCAGAAAGTTTCATCTCCGGTCTATTATTATTCTCTTCTTGTCATGATAATAATTTCAACTGCTAGATATTAATCCATTCATCCATTTTGTTGTCTTTTGCACAAACAGTGATCTGGAATTATGCAAAACAAAATGTTGCCAGTTCTTCACGTGGATTATGTGTTTTATCATATAACTAAAGGCATGTTTTCATGTCATTTATACTTAATTGAAAAGGAAAAACGGAAAATAATCGAGAGTAGAATATGCCTTTTTTTCTCAGTCAGACTAGTGGACTTGCTGGCTAAATAAATATTGAGTACGGTTGTACAGGTAACCCAGCCATGGTCAGAATGCCTGAAGAAACGATAGCACAGTAACTGATAATTGTTAAAGTCCTGCCATGAGTGTTTCGCATTGACTATGTCTTCATTCCCATCACTAAATGGATGCAGGGAAAACCCATCCCCGACATTCCTTGAAAGGGAAGATCGCCGCCTCTTCCATTTGAAAAATGCCTCGCAGGTATATGAGCTCCACGGGCGACCATCTACTCCTCATTGTCCGATGCACGCTCATTTACCAGTTTCCCCTACTTACCCAGTGCTTTGTATTTCTTATACACTTCAGTTGCGCATGGATGACATCCCCATCTTGCTCGGCGAGTATAGAACTATGCTTTCCACCTGAGAGAGGGCCACACAACTATTTTGCCTGGTAGGTGCTTCTACCATCGGTTCTCTGCTTCTGTGGTTTCCGATGCGCAGGGCGAGAAGGACGACGGCCCAGCCGCCTAGGCCCCAGGCAAGCAAACAGATCATTGATGAGCAAAATTGACGAGGAAATGTTGTATTTGGGAAATGCATAGAAAAGCAAAATGTCATGATCTATAATGGTTGTATTTTGATGTACAAGCTAGAATCTTCTTGTATTTTGTTGGATGTACAAATGTAATTTTAAAAATTTCAGACTAAAGAGCTCCATGGAGCTACGGAGCAAATTAATTCTCATCCGCAATCATTTTAACATATGCGATCACATGCTTGTCACGTTGTTGGACAGAAGATACAACATATACTTATTATAGACTTCACGCCGACCAAAAGAGAATAGTGTATTTTCTAGATTCGCACCGCCGTTGACTTGTAGGTTCAAAAACTTGGATTGTGTTTTCTTAATTCTTTTGAGGTTGCAAAATTGACCTCTGTTTAAAGCTCAATTGGTGACACTTGGGTCCAAAAGATTGTCTGAAACTTAGGTCATATTAGGTCGATGACTAAATTTGCCACAAATAATCCTAGGCAAAATGTGTTTGCCACCCAAAGCACGGAGCACAAAACAACCGACAAGTGCGACAAAGATTTGACAAAAAAATGAGTCTTATGATAATTGACAGATTCAGGATTTGAGCACGAACAAGAGCATTTGGATTTATTCTCGCAATAACATATGCATCCGTTTTTGAACACTGAAATTAATTGCAAAACACTTAACATGCAACAAAAAAAGAGAGAAAGCAACAAAAGATATAAACAAGACTCCAAAAGGAGGGCCTATAAATGTTGTGTCAAGTTAAATGTCAACAATCATAGCATCAAATTAGTATCACTAAATACAAAAGAAATTATTCTCATGCCGTTTTGTAATGTCATTATTGATGGTTTTGTTACAAACTTGGTCAAACTTTGCATCATTTGACTTCAGAAAAAAGAATGTAAACCTTTTTTTAGTTGGTGGAGTACGAAATTAGAAAATATTTGAAGTTGACTCCCAACACTTTTGAGAATAAAAAGCAAGCAACCTCCGTCCCGAATTAGTTGGTTTGGAGTTGTCTAGATACATCCGGTGATACATACAACTACAAAAAGCGTGCCCAGCCCATAGCTAGAACGACGAACCAAACAAACGTCTAAAAAATTGATGTGGGACGGCCAAGGATAGATGTGGCAACCTCAGGGTTTCCTCCTCGATTCACAGGATTTCTAAGATGCGGGGACTGCAAAGGGCGTGCATCGAGAGAAACACTTTTTTTTTGCGCGTTGGGAAACACATGGCATGGCATGACTCTTCACAAGAGATTTATGTAAATAACCTTATTATGAAGTGTAATCGTAGTACGGAGAAACCAAAGCACGTGGAGTGACTAAAACCCTTCCAATAAAAATAAAATAAAAATAAATAAATGTACCTACCCCGTTGCTTGCTGGTGTTGCCGGAGTGGACCGAACTCCCTACCGGGGAAGCTCCAGAACCTTCCCGAGGTTGAGTGAATGAACGTGGGCTGAAACCGGAAAACCACCCCCGGGTTCGTTCACAGCCGCCGCGGGGGGCAAACCCGTCATTTCATCCGCATCTTGTGTACATAGGTTTTTTTTTTCAACGAGAAAACGACGACCGCTGGCAGGGCAGGGCACTCGCCATTCCGCCTATTAAAAGGTGGCCGCCGCCGCCGCCCACCCCCACCACACCACCACCAGACAGAGAGAACACACGCAAGGAGCACGAGGAGGAGGCAAGGGAAGCCGCCGCCGCCGCCGCCCCGTCCCTCCTCGCCGGCCGGCCGCCACAGGTAGCAAGCAGCGGCCCCGATCTGCTCCCTTCCTTCTCTGTTTTTTTTTTATCTCTTGTTTCGTTTCCTTCTCGCGGCGCGGCGGGCTAACCCTACCCGGCCAGTTCCCCGGGATGGGACGGTACGGGACGGGACGGGCGCCGGAATCTCCGCCCGGCTCGCCGCCGATCTGCTTTGCGTTGAGTAGCGGCCCGGTTATCCCCTCCCCGGAATCTCGAACCCCGCCCGCGCGCCCGCCTCGTTAGGTCCGCCCGTGTCGCATGCTCAGCCCGAGCCCCCAACAGGGACGGGCAGGGGATCTCGTCGTTTCCTCCCTCCCTCCGGGGAACAAAGGGGGGTTGGGGGTGGTGGTGGTGGGAAATGGAACACGCGCTCCAGTTGCCGTCGCCGTGAGTGAGCAGGCAGGTTTTGGGGATTCTGTCTGGGTTTAGACATGTATGCACCTAGTACTATGTAGAGGTAGGTGAACAAACCCAACATTTCAGTTTGCCCATGCCCCGATTCGACGAATTGTTTGTGCGCCCTCGCTCAAGGGTTCTGGATTTTGATGATACTAGAGTAGATGATCATGGCGGGCGGCCCTGGTAGGCAAAGGAATGGACGCTGGTTTTCTCTTTATTTACCTGTGTGTGTGTGTGTGTGTGTGTGTGTGTGTGTGTGTGTGTGTGTGTCCCGGAGCTTCGAGTGAATGGCAGGGATGCGATGCTTGCCTTTCTCATATCGCTCCGGAGAGTGATTCCGGCCTTGTACTGGAGGGGGCTGCTGGCTTGTCCATGGTTTCCCCCCTCCTTGGTGAAGATACCGTTGGCTTATATCAGCATCCCGATGCGTGTTTGGCATTGAAAGCCGCTGTTTGTCACGCAAATCATGTGTGTGTGTGTGTAGGGGTGACACGCAAATAATGTGTGTCTGTGTGATGTTCCAGTGCTAGTGTTGGATGGCATGTTGGGATGATGCGGTACAGCACAATAGGCGCACAATAAGCATGACTTCTTATGTTTGTTTTTCCTATTATTGCTAGGGTTTGGCTATTTCTTTTTATTAGAACATGAAATTGGTTGCTCTATTGAGCAACTCATGTTTTGTGTGCTGTGTCCTGGAGCTTCGAGTGAAGAGCAGGGTTGCAATGCCTGCCTTTCTCATATTGCTCCAAAAGTAACTATGGCCTTCTCATGAAGGAGTGGATGGCCTGTCCCCATTTCTCTTTCTTGGTAAATATACCGCTGGCATATATCAGCACAACATTTTCATACAAAATCAAGAAGGTTGATTTAGGTCCAGGCGGGTATCTTTTTTCGCAATAGAACCTTTCTGTTTCATGTGCCCCTAGTCTGGGTGTCAATCGTTTATCATGAAATTAGTTGTTATCTTGAGCAACAAAGGGGCGTTGATGTTGTGCATTGTGTCCTGGAGCTTCGAGTGAAGGGCAGGAGTGCAATGCCTGCCTTTCTCATACTGCTCCAAGAGTAATTATGGCCTTCTCATGAAGGGAGTGGATGGCCTGTCCCCATTTCTCTTTCTTGGTAAAGATACCGTTGGCGTATATCAGCAGAACATTTTCATAAATACTTAAGAAGGCTGATTTAAGTCCAGACGGGTGTCTGCACAATAGTGCCTTTCTGTTTCCTGTGTCCCTAGTCTGGGTGTGTGTTCAAGCAAATAAAAATAAGGGGGGGCGTTGATGTTGTGTATTGTGTCCTGGAACTTCGAGTGAAGGGCAGGGATGCAATGCTTGCCTTTCTCATACTGCTCTGGAGAGTAAATGTGGCCTTCTCATGGAGAGAATGATGGCCTGTACCCATTTTTCTCCCTTGGTAAAGATACCATCGCCGTATATCACCAGCTCTTTGTGTTTGACCTTAAGCTGTTCTTGTGGAAAACAATGGGTGCTTTTGCAGTGCTAGTGGTAGGATAGCATCTGATCCGATGCATATCTTCTTGTGCTGAATAATTGGTTGCATTAGATAGTGAGAATTTCAGTTCTATATTTTTGTTACCTTTGCTGAAGATGGGTTCAAATCACTGACTTGCTTCTTTGGGTCAGGTTTCAAGATGTCAACCTGCACGTTTGCAGCTTCCTGTGCCCTCTTGGGCAATGCTCGAACAACCGATGCCCCCCAGAAAGCGGTCAAGAGCCGCCTGAGCTTCCTCGGCCGAGGCGCGCCGCAGCTGCGGAGCCTGAGGTCCTCCTTCCCCTCCAAGAAGCTGGACGTCTCCGCGGCGGCCACGTACAAGGTGAAGCTGGTGACCCCGGAAGGGGACGAGCACGAGTTTGAGGCGCCGGACGACGCCTACATCCTGGACTCGGCGGAGACGGCGGGGGTGGAGCTGCCCTACTCGTGCCGGGCGGGGGCGTGCTCGACCTGCGCGGGCAAGATCGAGGCTGGCGCGGTGGACCAGTCGGACGGGTCGTTCCTGGACGACGCGCAGCAGGAGGAGGGCTACGTGCTGACATGCGTGGCCTACCCCAAGTCGGACTGCGTCATCCACACCCACAAGGAGGGCGACCTGTATTAGGAGGGCTCTCATCTCTGGTGCCCCCAGTTGGTTGTGTGTTGAGTAGAACAAGGTCTGTCTGTAAAACAAACCTTGGTGGTTGTTTATCCCGTGCCTGCCTGTGTGCGTGCTTTGGTCGTTATTAGTCGGAGGTGGTTAAGATTGTTGGGTGAAGAGGCCACCCATGGAGAAGGCGAATAAAATCTGGCTGTGACTGATGGCATCATAAAGCAGTTTGATGGTTTTTGCGTGTGTGCTTTGTGCCGTTTTCGCTGTTTGTTTGCCTTGCCTTGCCTGCCTCTTGGTTGCTTTTGAAACCAATAACTGGTCTACCACTAGTGTTAGTTAATCTGAATGCCCGCATCTTGAGAAGGCGACATGCTATGTGCGTGTGTGCGCGCCAAGAATGGCATCTCAGCATGTCAAATGGCTGATCCCTCCCTGTGGACTGTGGTGCTCTTTTTTGTTTTTGGTTTCTTGGACAGCGTTTTCATTGCTAGTGCAAGTTTCTTTTTTGGTTCTGGCTTTGGCCACAACCATTGGCGCATTCAGTTTATTAGTTTGGTGGCCGGCCGAGAGAGAGAGAGAGAAGAGAGATCCTCCGCTTGATTCCTTTCCCTTTTTCTCTTTGCCCCTTGGCTCTGAGCTTCAGAATCTTTTTGTTCTTGGGTGTTTGTTCGGTTTTCCATAATTAAACCGGCTTGGTCTCTGAGGTGCTCATAGGTGTGCGTA